GCACCATTTAATTTCTATTTCTGGCATGGTTCTGGGGGTGGGGAATCACTGTTTGGTTTCACTGCCTCCCGTTCTCCAGTGTCAGGATGGACATGCTGCATCTCAGGGCTCTGAGGTGCTGGGACAGCTGCTGCACGCTTGCATGTGCCTTTTGAGGAGAGGCCTTACTTTGTTAAGTTATATTCAGATAATTGCATTAATAAAACATTTTTAAAGAGCATTAACAAAGGAGAAGGAGGTGCCACTATTCTGAAGCAAAGGTTTCCATAATGAGCTGAGAATTAGTATATGATAATGCTATGCTTACACAGTCCCTCATTTATTTGGGATTCTGATTACACCCTGAAGATCCCTGCTAGAGCTGTGATCCCTACTGTGCCATAAAGTCAGCAAGATACAGAAACCCTCACTGAAGGATTACAGGTGATTTGTGGACAAAACAAAGCAATGAACTTAAGATACACTGGCAGGAAACAAGGGAGAGAAAAATAAAGTACAACTCCAGCACTGAATCCTGGCTCTTTTCAGGTCAGTGAAGATTTTGCCTTAGAAGTAAAAATTGCCCCTTTCCTGGGTTTTTTTTTGTAGTTTTTTGTCCCCACAGTGTGAAGGCCTGCCCATGGACAAGGGATATTCTCCCATCCTTCCACACTTGTGCTTGATGCAAGGGACAAACATTTTGGTACCATCTAGGCATTTTTTGATTGAGGATAGGTTTGGGAGCAGTGAAGGTAGAAGGGAAGAGAACAAGGACGTAGAGAAGTCATTGGGAAGGACAGGCAGCAGAGGTTAAGCCTTGGCAGAGCCAATGGCTGGAATAAATTGCAGCTCTTGGCAGAAAGTGGGACAGCCACTGAAGAGCACCCAAAAATTGTCCTTGATGTTCAGAGTGTTTTCCAAGCTCCAGCTCACAACTGCAGGTTGAAGCTGCTCCTCTGACCTGAATATTATCAGGAAGATCAAGTTGTGACACCAGAACCTCTTGTGTCCCCACCCAAAGGATAATTCACCCAATGTCCTGCCAGGCAAACCCAGGTATTTTAATGTCTGTGCTTAGGACATTCCTCCCACTGCCTTGGAAGATGGCACCATGCTACCAAACCCATGTCACTGGGACTCACCCTCCTGCAGGGACAGGGAGCAGTTCCTGTTTTCCAGTCTAAAATGAAGAGAATGTTTCAAGATGTCAGCTTGACAAGCCCTTGTGAACTGACCATTCATTTCCCAGCACTGGTATTTTGCTACATATCCACAGAGGTCCACAGAAGGTTATTCTGGATATGCCTCTTGAGTGGTGAGAAATCAAGGAAGTTCAGAACTGACTATGGACTTCCCGAACCGACAACCCAATCCTCTTCCAACAACTCCTGACTGTGGTCATGAATACACTTCAACCACGCCATAATTCCATTTCTCCAGTGTGGGCAGGTGTGTGCTTTTCTCTCAGTAAGTTATGCAAGAGAGACAAAACTAATCAGCACTTCGGGAAACTGTTGTCTCAGTGACATTTGCACGATTGCTCCATCAGCTGCCAATGAACATCCATCACGCTGGCTGTCACTGTCTCCTGAAGTTTACATCAGCTGCTGTCTGGGAACATTCATTTAGAACACAACCATGCGGACTTACAATAACCTAAACCACTCTCTGAGTTGTTATTTGCTTGTTTTCTCTCTCTGGGAAGAAAGGGGAGTGTCAGCAACCTCCCTGAAAGATCTCTGCTCCTGCGGGCAAGCACAGAGCACTTGGGACTCAGACCTTGACCTCCAGGACCGAAATTAAAACAAGGATGGTGTGTGGGAATAAAAACAAGCTGCCAAGTGACCCCAAGAGTCCCTGATAGATCTCTCTGAGAAAACAGAGATTGCCTGAGACTTGCAGTATCCTTCACACCTTCCCTGCAGCCACCACACTGTCTGTGCTCCCTCTGAGAGGGGCCAGAGGAGACCTGAGAGCGCAGACTTGAGGCTGACAGAGAAGTGGAAAACAAGATAGGAAAGAGAGAAATGGATCCCAGAAAAACCCACACCTACACTCTCTCCTGCTCCACAGGTATCAAAATCCTTGACCTTGGGCCCCAAACCCACCAAGATCTCCCAGGACCCACAACAAAGCTGTGAAGATGCTACATGGCATCACTAAACCATCTGACAAGGACACAAGGTTTTACAAAAGGATACAAGAAAAACTCCTAATGGGTTTAGATTTACAGCTGAACTTCGGTTTAGCATTTCAGTTGTATGTGTTACTGACTGAGGGGCACACACATAAACATTTGGACAGCTGTCTAAGCTAGATGGCTTGTTGTCATGTTTGTATTTTGTGCTTATGACTGCTGTGACTCAAAAAATCAGATGTGCAAGATCTGTTCGCTAGAAGAAAGCCAAATATTCAAGAAATGGGCCTTTGTAACAACTCCTTTACCCTGAGAGCATCAGTTACTGCCAGTGGCAAGAAAAAAGATTAAATTACTTCTCGATTTATCACCCCAAACCTAAGCAAAAATCTAGCAACAACACAGAAAAATTCTTCCAAATGGGAACTTCTCATAGATTTTGATACCCTTGAGAAAAAAAAAAAAAATTCCTATAGAAAAAAATTAATCCTAATTTGTGAAAGATCAGGCAGCTGAAATCTCTACAAGATGAGTCAGCCCTGGCACACACACACAGACACACACTTGCAGAAGATTTTTAAATAGAGGCTAATTTCAGCTGAAACTAAGCACTGACAAGCCCTTCTATAGATGACGATTTGGAACCTACATATGAGCAAAAGTAAATCAAGTGGGTGAAAGGGTTCTGAGACCACATAAAACGGTGCCTCTGTTTCCACAGAAAGCAGCCTGGTTTTGAGTCAGTCACTGGAGAAAGCCTCTCCTCTTTGACTTCAGTGTGTGTGGAACGGACGTGAGAAAGTTTGCAGACCTTAGAAATTCAACAGGATGAGGGAAGAGCAGAGCTCAGAGCCTGCAAAACCTATGAACTGCTCTGAATTTCATCTGTGCTTGGGTGCCTCATAAAGTCAAGACTTTACAGCAGCAGTTTCCTGAATCTTGAAGTTCTGTCTTTCCCATAACATTTATAAAGTCATAGTTCACAGGTGCTCCTTTCCCCCCCCAAACACCCCTGGAAGTGATCTTCCATTGCCTGACTCACCTACACTACTTAAGAGGGAAACAAATTCACTGTTTATTCTAGGTAAAGACATAGATTTCCAAAACATTGGTTTTTCTGCCCTACTCCACAAGGTATTGAGCTTTCAGCATAACAAAGGTCCAAGTCACAAGCTTGACCGTCAGCTAAATTAAGTCTGAAGCATCTGGACAGGTTACTGTGTGTGAGAGTTGCTGTGACACCATCAACTTTGTGTTTCTTAGAGGATACTGGCACCTTGCTTTTCACACATCACCCCACAGTACTTGAACACAACAAGCAATGAATCAGATAGCTCCTAACTCTCTCTAATAGCCTTTCTTCCTATATTCTGTATTTCTGTAGAGTTTAATCTTTTATCAGGGAGCAATGACTTCTTTCAGGAAAAGTGATTATTGCTTTTGCACTTAATTCACACGCAAAAATACTTTAATGACAAGCTCCATCTCATTATTCTCCCACTGAAATCTCTTCAGAAAGAGTCTTTGTAGCTTTCTGCTTCCTAAAATCTCTCCAAAGTAGTCCTTGTAACTCTCACATCAGAATCCGACCACCTGGGTGGGACACCCCACCACCTGATGACAACACAGCAGCCAAGATGGGACCACTGGAGCGCGACGAAGGTGGCCTAGGCCTTCCTAGGGCAAGAGGAGCAGTTCACAAGATTTTGCACAAGTTTACTGCTTTATTTAAGTAGTTCACAAGATCAGCAACTTCACATTCCTCAGTGAAGGAAAGCAGGGAACACGTTGATCAGGATGGTCCTCAAGGAGATGTTCCTCATACCCTTCCTTTGCCCCGTGCCTGTGATATCAAACTATCCTGCCAAGACCGAGGGACTGCAGCTACAGATGGACAGCAAAAGATGAACATAAACCACACATGACAGAAGAGAGGAACTAACTACTACCTTCACTGAAAATGACAGCTTCTGGAAAAAAGGGAACTGTCATCTATGAACTTGTGAAGTGCAGACCAATACGAAATTATTTTCCTAGCAGGAAAGCAAATAAACTGCCCAAGTGCATAATGAGATTGGGCACACAGCCATGGAGAGCTATAGGCTGTCATTAATTATGGAGGTACAACTCTTAAAGCCACGTGACCCGGGAGAACAAACTTGTGCACCTACAGCTTTTACAGACACCGTTCTTCACTGTGAAATGCTCTTCTCCTTAGCAGAACTGAAAACATGTGATCGAACTCAAAAGAATGAGAGAGGCAGGCTGTGTAAAAGGGTAATGGTTTTTTAGAATCTGGTCTTATTTTTAAGATATATTTCAGAAGGATTTCTTTACAACATTCCTAAAAGGAACTCAACCATTACAATGAAACCCCATACTTGTTATTACTTGAGATGGTCATCTGTCTAGGAATTTATCTTCTCCATTCTAGACAGCCTTATTGCAGTTCAAATGAAAATATTAAATATAGTTTACCATCTACTTGTTTGCATTCTCATAGAGTTATGAGTAACAACTCTCAGTACTGCACCATCAATTTTTTCCTATCCAAATTGGAAAAGGTTTCTTAAAAAGCACTCAGCATTGGTTTACACACCATTGGTGGTCCAACATGATCCATGATATGAGCAGAGGAGGCAGATCCAGAGGGCTGGCATTTGCCAGGGGGGCTTTTGACTGACCACTGGCCCTCAGGGAATGCTGGTAAGGGGGAGCTTTTGCAGCTTTTACATGAGCCAGACCTGCACCACAGCTAAAAATTACTTCAGCTTCAGCATCCATCAACAGCAGTAAGCAAATACTGAGTGCCTTTGAGAGTTCCCAGCAAAAACACAATTCCTAAAGCATACTAATATCAAATACTGAAGAAAGGATTTCATACCTTAAATTCCTCCAAGATTTTGTAATTTTTCCCATGATATTCACAAAAGTTTTTCACTTCTTTGCATTCCGGACAGCATCCATTGTGTTCCACTTTTGTACACTTTGGGTGGATTTTAGGGCATTCTGGTTGATCACAAACAGGTCCATCCTCAGTACAGACACAGGGACAGTTGGAATGTCCCGGGAAAAAACGTTCTCCCAGTTTGTACACAAAGCCACTGTCATCCACACAGCCCTTCCCCCGGTAGTCATCAAAGATCAGATTGTCATTACTGGAGGTCTGGTCCCCTTCATCAGCAGGATAGTCTTCATGATTGATGGCAGCTGGAGTGACCAAACCAGGGATTACAAACAGAAGTATCCAGGCTTCATGGATATGAAGAGCCATCCCCCTCCTCAGCTTCTCCATGGGATCTCAATGCCAGATACAAACAGTTGCTTCCATAGGGACACCGGTGTTGTGGTCTAAAAACAAGTATTTTTAAGTGAGAACAACCCCAAAGTTCAAGGAATATTGGCTTATAAAGGTCATGGGTTCAACCATCACCTAAGAATAAATCAGAGTTCTCAAACTGCATAGATAAATATTACTGTTTCATTTGAATTAAGCCTCTTCTCAGTTATTGTTACAGAGAACAAAGCATGTGAAATACATAACTTGGACACTCATGCCTGGAAGCATATGCCCACAAAGTATCTTTGAAGGAATCCTTTGAAGGAACAGAATCATCTAATTTTTACTCTCCTCATTTGTCCAGTTGAGTTTCCAGATGTACCAGAAATTAAATCAGCTGCCTGAAATCACAAGGTGATGGGCAGCTTGGAGGGTTTTGAACCCAAGTTTAAGCACAGTCTAAACCTCCTGCCATGGCCACTGTCCCTTGGTGCTACACAGGGTGAACAGCCCACTTCACTAAACTGGGGTGGGAAACCTGAGCTGAAAAAGGAGTTAAGCATGATCTGCTGTCAGATCTGCATCTGATAAAAAAGACAGTGCTGGGTTATACTTGGGCTGTGAGAGGTGGGAGAGTATAGAATTTTATATACAGCATTTCTGAAGAGGGACCACCTGGGCTACCAACACAGCCCAGCCTGCAGCAGGGACCTATTATCCCAACAGAAGCAAAACCACAGTTCACCTCCTCCATTATTCAGCATTTCAGTAATTCCCAGAGAGAAACGCGGAGACAGGACGTTAAATGCCTTCATAATGCATAGAGCAGCTGAAGTGTGTTTGCGTGATTAAGCCGAGCCCTTCTCAAACTTTGGGAGCGATGCAGCACGGCCCGACCTTCGGCGAGCTCTGCTGAGGCGGTCGAGCGAAGGATCGACCCAGGGAGGGAGAGGAGCTTTGCACTGACCCCCGGGAGCGCCGGCGCCAGGCGAAGGCTCCGTGCCGGTGTCTTGGGAGCACTTCTGGCTTCCCACAGTGCCACATCACTGCCACCAACGCACTGTCCAAAACCCTGCCACTAACCTGCCTCCACACCAGCCCACGGGCAGTGCAACCCCGGCAGCAAACTGGTTTCTGACCTCTCTTAAGAGAACTGGGCAAAGTCTTACAGGAAACTTTTAAATGAAATGAAATATTAGCTTTATCTGGATTGAGGAACCACGGAGGTAGATCCTGGCACAAACCAAAAGAAGAACTGTTGGGATGTGCGTGTCCTCCCTTCTCCGTTCCCAGAGCATGCACACACAGCCACACACAGTATCCACAAACATGCATTAACCTGCA